AGGTGTCCCCCTGTCCCCTCAGGTGTCCCCTGACCTGTCCCTTGTCCCCAGATGATGGTGACAGTGTCCCTTGTCCCCTGAGGTGTCCCCTTGTCCCCTCAGGTGTCCCCCTGTCCCCTCAGGTGTCCCCTGACCTGTCCCTTGTCCCCAGATCGTGGTGACAGTGTCCCTTGGCCCCTGAGGTGTCCCCTTGTCCCCTGAGGTGTCCCCTGATGTGTCCCTTGTCCCCAGATCGTGGTGACAGTGTGGCAGAGGGACTGAGGTGTCCCCCTGTCCCCTGAGGTGTCCCCTGAGGTGTCCCCTGATGTGTCCCTTGTCCCCAGATCGTGGTGACAGTGTGGCAGAGGGACTGAGGTGTCCCCCTGTCCCCTCAGGTGTCCCCTCAGGTGTCCCCTGACCTGTCCCTTGTCCCCAGATGATGGTGACAGTGTCCCTTGTCCCCTGAGGTGTCCCCTTGTCCCCTGAGGTGTCCCCTGAGGTGTCCCTTGTCACCAGATGATGGTGACAGTGTGGCAGAGGGACTGAGGTGTCCTCCTGTCCCCTGAGGTGTCCCCTGAGGTGTCCCCTGAGGTGTCCCCTGAGGTGTCCCTTGTCACCAGACGATGCTGACAGTGTCCCTTGTCCCCTGAGGTGTCCCCCTGTCCCCTGAGGTGTCCCCTGACCTGTCCCTTGTCCCCAGATGATGGTGACAGTGTCCCCTGTCCCCTGAGGTGTCCCCCTGTCCCCTGAAGTGTCCCCTCAGGTGTCCCCTCAGGTGTCCCCTGCCATGTCCCCTGAGGTGTCCCTTGTCCCCAGATCGTGGTGACAGTGTCCCCTGTCCCCTGAGGTGTCCCCCTGTCCCCTGAGGTGTCCCCCGAGGTGTCCCCCTGTCCCCTGCCGTGTCCCCTGACGTGTCCCCTTGTCCCTTGTCCCCAGATCGTGGTGACAGTGTCCCTTGTCCCCTGAGGTGTCCCCCTGTCCCCTGAGGTGTCCCCTGACCTGTCCCCTGTCCCCAGCTGACGGTGACAGTGTGGCAGAGGGACTGAGGTGTCCCCTGACGTGTCCCTTGTCCCCAGATCGTGGTGACAGTGTGGCAGAGGGACGTGGAGCCTCCGGAGCTGCAGGAGGGGGGGGGTTACCTGCGGCTCTCAGGTGTCCCCTGAGGTGTCCCCCTGTCCCCTGAGGTGTCCCCTGACCTGTCCCTTGTCCCCAGATCGTGGTGACAGTGTGGCAGAGGGACGTGGAGCCTCCGGAGCTGCAGGAGGGGGGGGGTTACCTGCGGCTGCTCCAGGGCCGCGCCCCCGCCCAGGTGTTCCGGCAGCACCGCGGGGCCTTCAAGGCGCAGGGTGGGCACTTTGTCCCCTAAAAAACGTCCCCAGAACTGTCCCCTGAGGTGTCCCCCTGTCCCCTGCCATGTCCCCTGACGTGTCCCTTGTCCCCAGATCGTGGTGACAGTGTGACAGAGGGACGTGGAGCCTCCGGAGCTGCAGGGGGGGGGGGGGGTTACCTGTGGCTCTCAGGTGTCCCCTGAGGTGTCCCCCTGTCCCCTGCCATGTCCCCTGACGTGTCCCTTGTCCCCAGATCGTGGTGACAGTGTGACAGAGGGACGTGGAGCCTCCGGAGCTGCAGGGGGGGGGGGGGGTTACCTGTGGC